CCTAAGTGTGATAAACAGCAAAAGGGGGTGAACCACATAGTCACGAGGACCTGCTGTTCAGGGGTGGAAACCGGCAACCTAAGCCCCGGGACTTGGGGGTGGAGAACCAATAGGTTAGGCGTGGTATTGAACCGAACGATAGCAGAGCTGACTACCACCAAAGTCGGGTGGCGGGGCTCGAACCTCGGACCATAGGGTCTAAAGCACACCGGTGACAACGACTAAACCACTGCGCCACCACCACCCTAAATCAAACTGTTCAATATCTTCGATCTTCAAAGTTCTTACCATCAAATCGCCATTCGCAAAGAAGATAAACCTCATACAGTTTTTGAAGCTCGCAGTAAGTTGTATCGCTTCTGCGGCTTTCCCCTCAGAGTTACGAACGACGTGCCATAGAAAATATTATCCGTGAAAAAGGTTTACGAGATGCTTTTGCGTAAATTGACAATGTCACCGTTTGCGGCTGCAAGAGTGAAGAGCACAATGTCAACCTTGAAAGCTTTCTGGAGGCTTCCAACAGACGCGGAATGAGGTTTTATGCAAAAAAGTAGGAGTATTAGTTCTGTCACCAACAAATCACATATGGTAGGGTTGAACTAGACTCTGAACGATTCCGAGGTACACAAGAATTATCTGCGCTTGCCGACATTCACTGACAGAGAGTATTATGCCTGGTGAATCTCTCATATTTTCGATAAAATTCACATTTTGTTGAACCGAACATTCCTGCAATCCAGAGAAGCGCAGGATGCGTGTGAAAATATGAAAACGGAATTGGAAAAAGCCGCTGTGTTCACAGTCGATTACATCCGTCCCTTGCTCGTCGAAACAGACGCATCCGAAATTGCCATAGCTGACACACTTAACCAGGACGGACGGCCAGTGGCATTTTTCTCTCGCACCTTGTCTCCTAGCGAGAAACCTCATTCTGTCATTGAAAAATAAGTTTGTGCCATTGTCAGACCTCTAAGAAAATGGAGTCAATTATTTACTTTTATCATTGGCTAGCGTTCAATTGCATTCGTGTATGATAAACAGCACAGGGGAAAGGTGAAAAATGACAAAATTTAAAGATCGAAACTGGAACTCTCGTGTCATCATTATGATATTCGGTACCGACCCGGTGACCAGGATAAAGCTGCCGATACACTGTCTCCGAACCACTGTCTCTCTGCTATATTACGCACTAACTTAAATAAAACATTTACATAGTACACTCTGTCACCCGGTATTACACGAATGTTACATTTTGTTCGTCCTAAAAGTATACCATCCTTACACGATGACATCAAAGCCATCAACAGTCAATGTGAAATGTGTAGCGAACTTAAGCCCCGCTTTCTCAAACATTTTGGAAAACTCATTAAAGCTACACCAGTTGAAAGCGTCAATACTGATTTTAGGGGTCCACTCCCATCCATGTCTCATAACAAATATTGACTATAAGAGACAAAGATTCACGTTCTCCCTTTGCTTTTGCCCGTTCAGACGTTTCTTCGTCTACCGTCAACAACTGTCTCAATCAGTCATTTTCACTGTGTTGGGTTGCCTTCATATATCCATTCCGATCGCGGAGTATCCTTCATGTCTGGTGAGTTGCAAAGTTTCCTTCGTGATACTGGAATCGCCGCCAGCTGAATGATCCCATATAATCCGCGCGGTAACGGACAGGTAAAGTGATCGAACGGTACTCTATGGAAGGCTATCACATTATTGCTGAGATCTGAACAGCTAGACATCCCCCAGTGGGAAAGTGTACTTATGGATGCCCTGCATTCTGTCCGCCCTCTACTGTGTAACGCTACAAACGAGACACCTCATGAAAGATCCCTCCAGTTCAACTGTTATTTCCCATCCAACGTGGTTATGAAATCCAGGTCCTGTTTGGCGAAAAAATATGACCCTTTGGTGGAAGAGGTAAAACTCTTAGACTGCAACCCTCAGAACACTTATATCCTCTCATTGAAGAGGGGGAACCGTTTCTCTACAACATCTTGCGCCCAAAGCTAATGACATAGACAACTCCCATTTGGAAGAAGCTAATCAACTTATTAACATTGATGACCATTCGCAGTCGTATCCCGAGATCAACTCTTCACAACTAGAAACTGTCCATTCACAGCTGCTGTCTCACCGCCTCCCGCCGAAGTCAGCTACGCAGCCAGATCTACAAGACCATTTGCAACAGCACACCGAAAAACAACGTGTTCACCCGTACAACCCGCAGAACAAATAGACTTATAAAGGAATCCCCGAGCGTCCCTGGTTTCTTGTTCGGTGGGAGGGGGAGACTGTCACATACTCATGTGCTACCGCATTTCAAATTGAGCTATATTAATTCTTCCATTTTTTTGAGTAGCGAGCTTGGATCAGCCCATCCGGTTGTTCAGAGGCACCAGGAACTCTGCTCTTTCTTACAGTTTAGCCGCTGTACCACACTTAAAGCCTACATTTCGTCAGACTCCTCTTCTCAATTGCTCTGCATTACTCGAACATAACAGACCACATTGACAAACGAAGAAAATAACCACCTGAAGTGGATCATTAATCTGCTAATTCTTCGTCTTTGCAGCTATTATATATGTATATATACATCAGGTTAATTGTTCACTTCAGGTGGTTAATTCCTTCGTTCGTTCCAATCCACTTCAAGTGACTAGCTCCAAGCACCGTTTCTCGGGTGAACGAGTATCCCCGGTCGAATTAGAGTCAAGGAATAAATCATTTTTCGAGAAGAATTTCAGTGACAACGAAATGGTCTGTTACCATTGTTACCAGATTCGTTCGTGCGAATTCTCAAGCATCAGAATGGTTTCTGCATAAATGGACTTCGTTTTCGATTGTCCATTTGTTTTCCCATAGTAGTAGTAGTTCAAAGGATACGATACTGGCACAATGACCAATAACGAATAAAGGGACATGACTGGCATCCTGACGTGATGACCAGTTGAACAGCGCGCGACAAACTGCAGCAATCAATCAAATTTTCAGATACTGTTTGAGATCGCATAGTTTTTTCCCCCACACCACTGAACGAGTGACGCGTCCGAGACGAGTCCAGATTGTGAAGGAATTCAAGTGACCTGAGAAAAGACAAGGTGAACTGTACGGTACCTCGTGTGTGTGTGTGTGTATGTTTGCAAGCCCGCATTTAAAAAAAAAACAGATCAAACTGTCAGTAGCCAGCATTCCATCACGTATGAGGTGCATACGCACAGAGAGAGAAAGTTCGATTTTACCTGATTGACTTGTCCGGCGACACGTGCCAGCACAGACTGATCACGAGAGGTCACCAGGAATGCGGCTGGCATGGACGAAAGCACCTGGCCTACCTCAACATCCCAGACATCATCCAAAACGATGAGTAGTAAGGATGTGCTCAAAGTGTCTTCGTCTGACGGTCCCCGGAATGGTCGGTTCTGACGTCGAATGAGCGTACGTCTCAAGCGTTCGGACGCGTCGTCCAAACTCACTGATGGCGGGCTCATACCATGTGATGGGATACCAAGTGTGTTGTGATCTGTATTTGCACGAGTCAGAGAGGCTAAACGTCGCTCCAACCGATCAAGAAATAATATCTGTTGTTTTTCCATTAAACCTGCATATTGTCCGGTCGATTCCGAAGAATTTACACCCGAATCGGACGACAAGAGTGGCCCAACATGGATCCATACCACGCCTAAAGTAACAGTACGATATGTTGACAATAAGTTAGTGATAAATCCTGATAACACAAGTTATACCTGTAATTGGTCGACAAAAACCGCCGGTAAAGTCTCTAACCGAAACATGCATCGTGCTCATATACAAGCCACAAATCATTCACATCAAAAAACCTTAAGTGATAGTTAAATTAAAGTTTTTAGTCATTATTGCTTTTACGAACTGCAAAACTGTGCACACTACTCCCATGCGTTTACTCGTAAATAGTATAAATGAAGATATAAGTTAGAAAGAACGACGAGTTTATAACCAGATGATGTGACTGTGATAATTAGTAATACGTAGTTTTGTGTGCGAAAGGTGGGTATGGAGAGTGATTTTCAAGACATGAGGGTCTATGGGCAGAGAGCTCATGTCACAGATTATAAGTTGACGATCACTAAGGTTCTTAAAAATTGTTTTTAGGCCAACAAGGTGGAATATTGTGGAGAGGGATTTCAATCGCCTCGACTGTTGACAAAATTCGAATTTTCACATATTTGGATAGCTTTACCTTGATCGTATAAAGAAGCAAGGAAGCATATTTATCACGTGGATGCATTCAGGAGATACAATTACCAAAATACGGAGTAGAATTCAATCGTCCTTCAGGTGCACATACATTGCGGTAAAGCCTAGCATTTTATTCATGTCTGAGTCTATTCTCCAAATGCAGGTAAAAGATAAAAAGCCGAATACGAAATCGTTTTGTTTTAATTCAGCTGCTCCTGTGGAGCAGACTACCGGGTGGAGCCGGAAACACGATACTGAGTATAAATTTCAGCTGCAATTCATTTGCACTTTACCCGATTAAGCTGTCAAATGGCACACACACACACACACACACACTTGAATCCATTGAGTGTGAATGTTTGTGCTGAGGAAAGCCGGCGGTTGTTAAGCTCGATGACACAAAAGGATTCCGTTGTTTACACTCACGATAGTAAAAATGCATCGCAAAACTTCCGTTCTTGAAGAGGTTCGCATGAGTCCAATAAAGCTAACTGACAGATGGATTGAGAGCAAAGGACGGCACCTTGAACCCTTGCTTTGGCCACTACCAATTCAGTGATAAGTGCAAATCTGTTGATTAATATAAATGATCAGATCCCGTTCTTTTTTTCAGAAATCTATCAAGTCAGCGTCCTGCTACTCCTTTTGTTTGTGAATCGAAGAATGCCGCTATTGTCTTACTTGTTATTGTGAATGAAATTCTTATGGTGAAGGTAGCGCAATAAAGGAAACCCCTAGATTTTCGAGTCTGAATATGTAAAACGATCGTCTGCGAACTTTATTACAGACATTATTATAGTGGTGGTACTACGAATTATTGCGTAAACGGTCTATCCAGAGGTGAGTTTCCATTATAACTTATGGGTTACTTTGGCCCCAGTAAAATTGGTTATTTTCTAGAGTATCAAGCTTGGATTAGTTGTTTTCTGTACATCCACCATAGAATTAGAAACCAATGACGTTTATTCTTCTCTGAACTGCAACGGGCGTTTGACGATACAAGCAGTTTCACATTATTTCACAGCCTACCCCACAGTCACTGGCTTCTTCCCTGAACCATTTGTTTTATTCTGAGACGATTCCCTTAAAAGAAACCGCTCTTTTCGTCTTTTTACATTTGAAGTGGTCGGTTTTTCCCTTGGTCAAGAATAAGGCAGTTGAATTCTTCACATATATCCGAAAAACTTATTCAAAGTGATGTGTTGTCGTCGTCCGTGAAGTTCGTCTTACAATCGATAATTTTTTCACGAGCAGCGGAATGTCGACACAAAGCGGCCGGCTTTCCTCACCATAAACACACACATAAACGATTCATAAGGATGTGTAGACGGACCTGTGAGTTGTGATCACCCATTATCATTTGACAGTTTCATCGGATGAAAGTGTAAGTGAATTGCAGATGAGATTTCTACCCAGAAGTTTCTATCTTAATGAACACTTGGTATGCACATGCAACGATGAGGCCTCTGTCCGAGTGCATCAATGAGCCCCACCCTAGACATTAGAATCAAGGATTGAGGAGGATCAGAGCTACAGCAAGCAGATGGAGGAAGCGCGGGCGCTTGGTCGATGTTACCGATGTGCTTTGGACCTTATGGTCTGGGGTTCAAGCCCCGCCACCACACTCAACTTTGGTGGTAAACAGCCTTGCTGTCGTCCAGTTCAGCACCATGCTAAACCAAGCGGGGCCTAATGTCGTTCGCCATTCTTAGTCCCGGGGATTAGGTCACTGGTTTCCACCACTAAACAGCAGGTCTTCGTGATTGCGGGGTTTCGAATCGTCTGCTATTCATCACACTAAGGTATAATGAAAATAAAACCCACCTGACTGAGCCCATTCGTATGCTCACTGAGCTTGAGGTCATACGTTCTTCCTATACTTTCAAACAAAGGTTATCCAAAGAAGTCCGAAGCCGAATTTCGTGAACAAGAGAGGCGACTGCAACCCGCCTCCGCAACCTTCCATCTTATTTGCCTCAAAACAGTTTGTAAGAGACCTGGCTCTACTATGGCCACCTAAGCTTCGTACATAGACTCCCGGATACGCAAATATATACACAAAGAAGGAGAGAGCACAAACGTATGTAAGCAAATGTAAGCAGACATGCCGCAGGAAACGGCAATATACTTCTTAATAAAATGTACCCTGTAAATACTTTGTGCTCAGATTTTACAATCATTAACCTAACATTTTCATGAGCCTTCATCGGATTTTGTCTTTTGGTTAGTTTTATTACATACGAGTATGTGATGAACAGCAAGCGGGGCGGACCCCATACTCACGAAGACCGGCTGTTCAGTGACAGTTTGAATAAAAGTGCAGATTTTAATGTTGAGAGCAGATTGAAAAAGTAGATGGAGAAACCAGGTAGACTTAGGTTGCAAAAATAATGAGTAGATGCACGAGCGCCACTGTGTGCGACACTCAGCCATACGACCCCGTGCCTCTATCCACCTCTATCCACCAGTTACCATGATCTCCAGGTTCCCATTCAGAGAGCCTAACGCAAGCTATGCGATCCAGTGAGCCGGTTATTGCAGTAGACGACTGCGATTACCTAAAAATCTACACCTAACCCCAGCATTGCATGCCCGTTTGTCCCACCAGATTCGTGCAACGCTGCGTATGCCGAAGAATGGGCCGAACTGAAGGAGCATATNCAATCAACAGGCACATTGAGCTGGATTACGTGTACACGCCAATGCAACTCAAGGATCAAATGACGCAACAAAAATAGGTCACCGCGTGACCTGAGAACGGACCGAAACCGCAATCAGGTCAGATGGACAACCACCCTCACCCCCACGCACCAATTTAACGGCGAACCCAGTCGAACACAATAAGAACAAAGGACAGCAATGGTCGGTGGAGAAGAACACATATATAAACAAACGAACACAAGCAGAAGACTGCCACTTCACAAGCACTAATGATGTCGCCTCGGCTGGTAATGAAACGTTTGCAAGGAAATTGCCAAGCTCGGCGAACAGGTGAAATAGAACCGACTGTCTCTTTTATTCTGCTTTTTTAATGGTGACGTTTCTGCGCTGTATAGCAGAACCGACCGAACTGAAGGAGCATATACTCGACTATCCACGTACAGCCGGATGTAGCAACCGCGCTATAGATATCTCAAGTTGGCAAATGCCAAACGAGCTTTCTGCATGCGTGCCGACACGTCATTCGTGATGCGTCCGCAAGGTGAGATATAGCTACCCAAATAACAAAACTTGTCCATCTCCTCTACTAACTCCCCAGTTAGAGTGAGGTTCGGGGCCAGGTCAACCCAATCTTGTTGCAACATTTTACACTTTGAAGGTGCCAAACGTATACCGGACATAGCTACCCTAGTATTCAAACTCTCTAGAAAAGCTTGCAACATACCTGGATCTTCACTTAGCAGTACTATGTCGTCTGCATACGTCAAATCGGACAGTCTACCACCTGGGAGAAAATCGATATCACCATACCCGCTCCAGGAAAGGGTTGTTTCCGCAATCATATATATGACTAAGTTAAACAGAAACGGTGAGAAAGCACGACCCTAACGAACATCGCTTTCTGTAATGAAATTGGGCGAAAAAGTTCCGTAAGCTCAGACTCGCCTTCCGCTGTTAGTATAAAGAGATCACAAAATTGAAATAAACTTCTTAAGCACACCCTTCATAGCCAGTATTTAGATAGGTCTACTGAGTCGAAAGCCGCTTCAAATCGGGGAACACACAAATGGTGGGTCTATGAAGTGTCTGTGTTCTAAAATTTGGCGAACAGTGAAAATGTAGTCTATACATCCTCGACCAGGTCTAAAACCAGCCTGGTTATCACGTGCGGCAGACAATCGACGGAGTATAATGCCAGTGAGAAGCTTAGAAATAATATTGACACATCATGGATGATGTGTCCATCAAATGAGTTTGAGCTACCCAAATCACAAAAGTCTATGCACATCGATTCACACCACTACGTTGCAACCTGTACCCTCTCCCACACTGTTCTCATGAGTTTCGTTGACTCCAAAACCCAAACTGACCCTAGATAGTGAAAGCCGATGGGGACAGTCCATCTGGACCGGAGGCCACATACAATTTGAGGTAACCGATTTTCCGGGTAACCTCCATATGAGGGACGTAGATATGGCGTGTCTGCTTATGTTCTAATAAACGAACGTTGAATTATTACAGAACTTGTGACTTTACGAGTTATGCTCATTCGAGCTATAAACGTCACTTACCTCCAGGGAAACATTCAACCAGAGGCAAAGCATGCTCACGTAGTGTGCTGATGCACAAAACCGTTTTACCACATCCGGGCGGGCCATGAACAAGTAGCCAGGCATTCGTCGGGGGTGGATGGTCAGCTGTGGTGGAATCATTGGGAAATGGTCCGAGACCGACAGAAGCCAAACAACGGGGTAAATCGATCGAGGATTGGGGCACTGCCGATCGAACTCGAAAGCGACTAGCCAAATCACGTAGGCAGCCTGATAAGCGCTCTGTAAGTGCTGACCGTGGAGCGAAACGAGTTGGGTTATCCGGGACGGCTCCATCAATGAGGGTTTCGCGCAAATCGCACACGCTGCGTTCACGACGTCTGACAAACGTTAACAAGAAACGGATGGGTAATTGACTTTTGGTCACCAAGTTGTTAACACACGCGATTCGTGGATATAGCTATATTATAAAACAAAACAACAAAACAACACTAAGCATCAGATGCTTACCAAGGGCAAGAAAGTTTAACCTTCTTTACAGTCTGTTCTGTATCCTAATCCGCACATCACTGTTTTTGTCATTATTGCTATGGCGTTGGCACCATGCTTGTCCGCAAGCCGAGAATATATATATATACATATAACACTCATCTTTACAGATTCAGCGCCTCAGTAACCATGGGTTGAAAGAACGTTACAGAGGCAGAGCAAAAAAACAAAAACAATTGGCTCCGGTAGGGAACAAAACATTTTGTGCTTACCTCACAGAATTTTTTTCCTTTGTCTTTTACTTTGGGGATTGCAGACATGAGAGGATGCACTTTACGGCTGACTTTGATTCAAGATAGTATCTCCAGTAGACGACAACCTGAATCTTTTGAACCTGTCTTGAAGTCGGGCAAATCTGACGGAAGACAGAGCCGAACGCAATTTCTTTAACCCCCGTAGCTTGTCCACTGCACTCTTTCCTTCCTGTCTGAACTAGTCTGTAAATAACTCAATATATGGTAGACATTGTCCAGGTATCCGTGGGACGTCCCTCAACCACCTCAGACAACGCAGTGAAATAGTTTTGCTCAACACAAGACTATATGAATCTAACAAACGTCGCATGACCTCATTGTCATTCAGGCGAAGATTCCATACGTGGGTGACGGTACGCAAACAACGATTTCCGAAAAGGGATAGTCGTGGGACACAATCTGCTTGGAGGCTGTTTTGCTGCCGTAGAGTAACAAGACAAGCACCGTTGCGCTATAATCACACCCTTGTCTTATATAATTAAAGTGAGTTGTGATGAAACAGATGAATCCCTCAATCAAACAGGTGTCTGCATGTCCAAGCTCGGCAAGCAAGTACAATCTCCTTGGATAAGCCTTGTGGATGAGATATATGAGATATATTACTTGTCTGAGGACAGAAACAAATCTTTATAAAAAACATGGGCGTTTCACGATTCGTTTGTGGGCTGAATACTGCCAGGTTGCTCAGGCTAAGGCAGGTGAATTTTCTTGAGGAATTTACAACCGGAGCCTTCGGCTAATTAAAGCCTAACCCACAAGACAGTAAGGCGGTGTGAAAACCTCAGTCCATTGGGAGCTGATGTCCAGTTCATCGGATCATTCGCCCTTCGGATGGAGTCAAACGTCAAAGGTGCCCAATACACATCAATGCCCAATCGAACCGGTGACCACTGCCACAACCAGGAAGTTGTGTGATTCGTACGCCTCTTCATGGTTGGTTTGGAATCAGGGGTTTTGGCCAACTCCCCAAGGTGAACTACCAGTGGTCCATCAACCTGGTTATAGCTCCGGATGTCGGCATTTCGTCCTCTTACTTTGGTGGGAAAACACCTCCGCCCTATGTATCTGAGAACCTATTCGAAGTTACCTGTCACACTACGTCTAAACTCGATACTAGTAGCTGGTACAAAGACGTGTCCCAACAACCAAACTGCAATTTCATCTAGTCACGAAGGATGCCTCGAAAATCACCCAAGGACAGACGGTATAACACAACCCAAATAAATTCACAAAAGTTGAAAATATCAGGAAGTAGAACAAATCTCGATCGAAAACTGCGCCAATGCGTCCATGAGTTTTTCCGTGCGTGAGCATACTCCAGGTCTAGGAACAGGAATCATTGAGGGGATTGCCGATTTAATGTATCATGACTTCGAGCAGTCACGCCCAACCATTGGTTTCCAAATTCGGGTAGTAAAACAGGCTGTAACTGGAGTCTGATTGAGACCCCTACATGGGTGGTCGGACTAGTGAGCCCATGAACCGCTATTGACCTTTAGTTGTGATTTCGTACTAACAAAACAGGGCTGATTTATCAATGAGCAATCGCAGTAAATCATCAATTGATAAAAGTTTGATTATCATGAGTTCGGCAAATAACGAAGCTCCCGTAGATATGGTTCATTTGAAAAAAAATGAAAAGATTAAATCAAGCTTCATCCAACCAAAATGGGAAACCAATTGTTCAATGTGCTCGAAATGGAAGTGCGTGGCGTACAGTCCCAGGCTAAACATAAAATCACGCCGGGTTATTGAAAAGATAGATCAAAACTGAGCTCTAAAACAGGGAATGACCCAGTAAAAGTATGAAGATTATCATGTCAAAATGTTAGACCACAACCGATGAATCTATCGATATCTCTAAATCAAGGATGAAAATGGGGAATGAAATACCAGGTATGCCAAGCAGTTCATCATCAATCGACCGTCTGTTAGACAGACATAGCTATAGGAGGAAAAAGATAATTATGCAATTGACATAAAACATAAACGTGCTGACTTCGCACAACGGTTCGACAACCATTAACCATGCACTTTCATGAGGCGGTTTTGGTTGCTGTCATTTGGCTGCCCAATTGGATGAGTGAAGTTTGGGACTAAGTTGCAAGTGCAGAAAGGAGTAAGTTCATTTGAACGAGAATCCGTTTGGATATTTTGGTTCTGGAAATGATTACTGAGCTCTCAACCTCACCCTGAATGCGGAAGTAATCGAAACGATGGACAAATACGGACAGCTACGTTTAACCTGGTTGGCGATTCTTGACTGAAGTACCGGCAGGCACAAAGAATGCTCTGTTGGAGTTTCTCGAATTAAGACAGCGCCATCACGACATTCGGCTGTTACGAAAGGCTAAATGGTGTAGGCCGTAGATACCCGGTCGGTGCTGATGTGCGAAGCACAATGAACCATTGTGAAAATAGGATAAAAGCAAACCAGCAGGGTTCTACCGCCGCTGTCTAGGCCGCATTGCTCGAGTCTGTATGTGCAACCGGAAAAGCAATGGCGAGTTAAGAATAATATCGGGTATTAGCGTTAGTGAGTGGGATGAATTGCTCGTCCAGTGTGGGATAAGGAGCAGCACTCGACAGCCACGGAGAAACCCATAAGGTGTCGCTGGATATACCGAAATTAACCGATTGCGTCTGCGAAGCAAGCCTTTTGGTTAAGTTACCGATGCTTGGCTTTTCATTTTAACTTTTGTACGGGACAGCATATTACCTCAAAGATCACCCAATCTCCGTCCAAGTCTGCGACGCCATGTCTCGTTCCGTACCTGTAAATGCCGGTTTCCTCCAAGGTTTCATACTTCCCCCACAATTTCCCCTATTTTTATTGATGACATTTTTTCTCTAACTTTTAATTCTATTCGATGATCTTACCCTACACCCGCATTTGTCTTAATTATCTTCTGACCCGACTATCTCCAGCATAAGTTTCAGTTTCCGTTTGTACAACCACTAGCAATGCACTTTCGTCCGCCGGTTACCATTGCTTTCTTATTGCTAACCATTGGAATGAATAGCAGNATACTTCCCCCACAATTTCCCCTATTTTTATTGGTGACATTCTTTCTCTAACTTTTAATTCTATTCGATGATCTTACCCTACACCTGCATTTGTCTTAATTATCTTCTGGCCCGACTATTTCCAGCATAAGTTTCAGTTTCCGTTTGTACAACCACTAGCAATGTACTTTCGTCCGCCGGTTACCATTGCTTTCTTATGGCTAACCATTGGAATGAATAGCAGAAAGACAGGAAAGTTAACAGCAGAGTCGAACGGAAAATGGAACATTTCAGTGGATCGACATTGCAAAGAAACAGAGAGCCTAGCGCGACTTATAGGACCGAGCGGCTTGATTACGGTTGGCATACCCCCTTGCCAGGTCTTAATTTAACCAAGTTTGGATTTATTCCACCCACTACCTGCCTCGGCAAGCATCACGTGAAGCGGCAATCTACCTGCTGACATGCGTAACACATGTCCCAAACAAAAATAATACTACGGATCGACCACTTCCTCCCTCGGGCGCCCACGGCTACCTAAACTGCTACGACTAACCTCAGGGATACATGCCAGTTTGTCCCACCAGATTCGTGCAACGCTGCGTAAACAACGGTGTCCAAACACCGACCGTCTCTTGACAAAGTATTGAAAATTGATTCCCTGCCGAGGCGACATCATTAGTGCTTGTGAAGTGGCAGTCTTCTGCTTGTGT